TTTTTCAATTTGTGAGAATAGCCTAAATGACACTTATACTTGTGCCACTTTGTCATGCCTGTCCTTAAACTTATCATTTTGCCAATTGAACACTTACACTAGTTCAAATCGTATATAATAAACACTTATGACAGGATGTTACCAGTGCGTGTAATACAATCTCCTACACGTAGGACGCCACGTCATTACTAGTGCCACATAGGAAAATAAACTATTTAAAAATAGGATTTTTTAGAAAACCCTAGCAATCTGCAAGTCTGGCAACACAAAGCAGAGTTTCTCTTTTACATCACCCATAAGGAAATTCTCCTCCATCAAATTAACGCTCCTGTAACTCACTAACTCCTTCATGAAATTGCTCAAAGCTTTCCCACCAAGATCAAGCCTTTTCACTCTGTTATTCAATGTGAAATTCTGAAACACGGGTGAGGCATGAGTAAATGACGAGATGCCTCATTCTGAAACACGGGTGAGGCATTGGGCTTTAGACACAATCCCATAAGGGCGACGAGATGCCTCATAGAGATGGACCAAAGAGGGGGAATCCGAAACATAGAGAGCCTTAAAATTGAAATCTTCGAACCACACATACCCAGAAGCTTCAAGCGAGCTTTAATGGCGTCTCTGCTTGTCCCTCCGGTTTTGATCCTCAAACACAAATGTTTATCGCATTTTCAAGTCTAAATTTCAATACCCAGCTGAGTTTTAGTACTAGGTTTCAAACCACTAGATTCGTTCTTCGCAAGACCAGCAATGGAATTTTGAAAATTCTCAACAAACAAGCCTTTGAATCTCCTCTCCAAAATCCGAATAAAGATTCAAATAGTGAAACACATCAACAATAACCAAAACAAGCCTTTGAAGGCTCATCCATTGTTTACAGTAGTGTGGAGGGGAAAGAGGGATTGGGGGCGAGAAGAAAGGTGGGATTTTTGGCCCGATTTTGTGCCTGATTTTAGTTTAATTCATTTTTAATTAAAATCACTANATCACTCTCTTTACACGCGTATGTTACACATAACTTTTCCACCTCAGCCATGTTAATGCCACATAAGCTCGGTCAAAGGTCAGAGGGATTTAGAATATACGATTTGAACTAGTGTAAGTGTTCAATTGGCAAAATGATAAGTTTGGGGACCGGCATGACAAAGTGGCACAAGTATAAGTGCCATTTAGGCTATTCTGCCTTTAAAACAGTGAGAACAGGTAATGGTACAGAATTTATTAACTCACTTTGTGAGAATTTCTGTAAGAATTTAGGAGTAATTCATCAAAAGACATGTCCTTATACTCCTCAGCAAAATGGAGTAGCTGAGAGAAAGCATAGACATATACTAGAACTTACTAGAGCTATCAGATTTCAAGCTAATATACCTATTAAATTCTGGGGTTATTGTGTTCTTGCTGCAGTATATATCATTAATTGGCTGCCTAGTTCTGTCATTGGAAATAAAAGTCCATATGAAAGGATGTATAATAAAAAACCTACATTGCAACATCTTAAAGTTATAGGTTGTTTGTGTTATGCAAAATTAGTTAATCAAAATGATAAACCAATGCCTAGAGCAAAACCTGCTATACACATGGGATATGCTACAACCCAAAAGGGATATGTATTATATGATCTAATAGATAAAAGTTTCTTTGTAAGCAGAGATGTCCAATTTAGAGAAGACATATTCCCTTTTAGAAACAAACAAGACAACAATAAATCTTTATTTATCCATCCAAACATAACATACTTACTTTTACATAACACAGATTCAACAGTACAAGCTACAACTTCAGAAAATAATATGTATTCAAATGAACAAGAAAATAATGTCATGTCAGAAGTGATACAAGAATGCACACAACATTATGAGAATACTCACATAGAATCTACTCAGACTAACAATCAACAAACTTCAGCTACACAACAAAGAAATCAAATCTCACAACCAATAAATGTCAGAAAATCAGGAAGAGGAAAGAAACTACCTATATGGATGAAAGATTTTGTGTCATTAACTGCTAAACAGAATGAACCCTATGCCATATCAAAATTCATAACCTATGATCATATAACTCCTAAGTATCAAGCTTACTTGACAACAGCTTCAAATATAGTGAACCAACTCTACACTCTGAAGCTATAAATGACCCTAAATGGATAGATGCAATGAAAGCAGAGATTGAGGCACTACAAAATAATCATACATGGGACATAGTAACTCTGCCTACTGGTAAAATTCCTATTGGGTGCAAGTGGATTTACAAGATTAAGTACAAGGCTTCTGGTGAAATAGAACGATTTAAAGCTAGATTAGTAGCCAAAGGTTTCAGTCAAAAGGAGGGGATAGATTATCAAGAAACTTTTTCTCCTGTCATAAAAATAAAAACTGTAAGAACTATATTAGCTATAGCTGCTGCAAGACACTGGCATATACATCAAATGGATGTATATAATGCTTTCTTACAGGGACATTTACTAGATGAGATCTATATGCAACTACCCCAAGGATTCACAAGTCAGGGGGAGAATAAGGTATGCAGACTTGTGAAATCTCTATATGGTTTGAAACAAGCTCCTAGACAATGGAATGCTAAACTGACAGAAGCACTAATGAAGTCTCAATTTCAGCAAAGTCAACATGATCAGTCTTTATTTTTTAAGAAAACTGCAGAAGGTATCACAATGGTATTAATCTATGTAGATGATATGCTTGTGACTGGTGACTCTCTGAAACTAATAGAGGAAACAAAAGCACATTTACAACAGTCTTTCAAAATGAAAGATCTAGGGGAATTGAAGTACTTTCTAGGCATAGAATTTGCAAGATCAGAACAAGGGATTCTTATGCACCAGAGGAAGCTGGAACTGATTTCTGAAACAGGAGTTGCAGCTGCCAAACCATCTATAACACCTCTTGACACAAATATGAAGCTTACAACTACAGAGTATGATGAACATCTAAAGAAAACCAAGTCAACTGCTCAAATGAATGAAGAACTGGCAGATCTAACTTCCTATCAAAGACTGATAGGCAACTCTTGTATTTAACAATGACTAGGCCAGATATCTCATTTAGTGTTCAAACACTAAGTCAATTTCTCCAAAGACCAAGGAAGTCTCACATGGAAGCAGCTCTAAGAGTTGTCAAATACATCAAAAACAACCCGGGACAAGGTATTCTACTTTCAAGCAAATTAAACAATACTATCTCAGCATTCTGTGATGCAGATTTGGCAGCTTGTCCTTTTTCGAGAAAGTCTGTTTCAGGTTACCTAGTTAAGTTTGGAGACTCTCTAATATCATGGAAGTCCAAGAAACAAACTATTATTTCTAGAAGCTCCGCAGAAGCTGAGTATAGAAGCCTTGCAACAACTGTTGCAGAGCTCATTTGGTTGATTGGTCTGTTAAAAGAAGTGGAAGTTGAGGTCAAATTACCAGTTGAAGTGTTTAGTGACAGCACAGCTGCAACTCAGATTGCAGCAAATCCTGTTTATCACTAAAGAACAAAGCACATCGAGATCGACCGTCATTTCATCAGAGAAAAAATTGTACAAGGACTTATCAAAACAACATACATATCTACCAAGGAGCAACTAGCAGATATGTTAACCAAAGGTCTCAACAAGGCTCAGCATGAATATCTTTCTTCCAAGCTAGGTGTTCTTAATGTATTCTCAGTACCTAGCTTGAGGGGGAGTGTAGATAAAGATATAACATAAGTAAAGAAGGACAATTTAGTAATTTCATATAGGTTAGGTTGTTAGTTACTAACCACCAATTCTAGAGTTAGTTAGCTCACTAATAACGACTCTCTCTAGTTAGTTGTAATTAGGTTAGTTAATTACAATTACTCTGGATGTATAAATACCTACACTATCTATGTAAAAGATCAGATGATTAATATCAAATTCCCTTTCTCTTAGCTCATCTCTTCTTCTCTCTGCTTCTTCCCCTTCTCTCATCTTCTCAACTCCACACTTTGGATTTAATCCAGAAACTATTTCAGTTATGGAGTTTTAGTTTTAATTAAATTCGAATATCTGGATAAATAATGTGCCTGGTTTGAATGGTTATGGCATATATTGGCGTTGATATCCTCCTACTCGTCTACAATCGATTTAGTTCATATTCCAGTCAGATTGCTTACAAATAAAATGTTTCATCAACTAGGCAAGCACAGCTAACACGAAATCGTTTTATTTCCAAATAATTAATGAGGCTAATATTTTGAAAAGAACAGATCGCAAATGGAGGCAATCTTTTTTTATGGCTAGTTTCACACACAAATTTTAGAAGTTTTTATAAGTAGTATTTGCATCCAGTCACCTTTGCCCTTTCGTACTACGCAAATGGGAGAAAATGAGATTATGGAGTCCATCCAATGCTTACTGAACACACTCTCTTGACCAAAGCCAATTATTTAAAATTGAATACCTGCCCATATTAGATTGACTTAAATTCTTTATCTGTAGCTAAAAATATCGTTTAGTATGGTTTTTTATTTTTATTTTAAATGGTTATATTTCTTTCAGAAATGGATAGATGAACCTCTAGTGTTAAAATTGAATAATGTTAAGGACATTTGTAATCCGATAATATCATGCTACAATCGGAGAGACTCAAGTTGTCACATAAGGTCTTAAGCTTCAATTTCAGGGTGGCTATTTGCAAGTTTAGGTTTTCAGAGCACAAATCCTACGGGATTAGAAAAATATTAACATATTCTTTAACAAGAAAAGAATTAAGAGAAAGAAAAAACAACTGACATCCAGCTTTATTCTGTTCAATCTTGAGTTAAGCATTTTCTTATCATCTCCACCCATTTAAAGACATTTCCTAAATCTTTTAAATTCAAAGTTCTTTAATGTTCACGTTTGATACTTGCTGTTTGTATACGGTAGAAATCGGGCTCGTCCACAACATGTTAGATCGGGCTCTTAACGTGAGGGACTAATGATCGACCCAAAATTCCACCGGGCCAGAACTCGAGATCAGAATGTCTGTCATCGAGAACATTGAATCCGTGATCCAGGAATAGACCCTGACCCCGAACGAGCTCGGGGAAACGTTGTCAGCGCAACCAACAGAAGACCGAAATAACAGAAGGCCGAAATATCCGTGACCGATCGGATAATACGGCGGGATTCTCGACACGTATCAATAAGGAACCTGCAAATCAATGAATCAAGAGATTTTTACCTTTTATAGAATAGTACCTAAAGTAGGACTCCTCTACTATATAAAAGGGATGTGATTACTTGTAGAACAGGATATAACACGCATTTCAGAAGCAATATACTGTTACTTTCTCTTTAAGCTCTTATTCAGTTGTGTCTTGACACTGACCAAAGTGCATTCTGTTCAAGGGTGGCTCACCCCAAGGCTGTAACTGTTTAATTCGTGTGGTTTGAATTAACTTTATCATATTTTATTTCAATTGCAATTTAATTTATCGATTTATGTCAATTTAATCCACGTCCTTAAAATCACTTACAAATTCAATTGTTATCCGATTTTGAGGGTAAACACTATATTGAGAATTGTAATGTATTTACATGGTCCTTCGAAGCTTGAGGTCTAGTCTTCCTCATTCCTGAGTCATTCTCTGCAGTTAGAAAGAAATCAAATAACTAAGGGACTAATCGTACTCAGAGCCACGATTTCCTGACGTGGCGAAAAGCATTTGAATTTTGAAGTTTTATATGGGATGCATTCTTATACTGATTAATTAATAATTTCTCCTTCAGTTTCTTTGCCTTTTCTACTTCCATAAAAATAATGGCTGCGGGGTGGGGTGGGAATTGGATATTGGGAGGCATGTATATTTTCTTAATTAATTACTTAAGGTAGGTCCATTATTTTTGTAGGATAAAGTTTATTAATCCTAATTACATTATCAAACCAAAAGGAATTACGGGGGCCACTTCGTTCACACCTACATAGCTAGAATACAAATTAATTGTGTTAAAAATCACAACGACCCTACATAAATTACAAGAGCATAACTTGATTACGTAAAGAAGAGTAGACATTCAAACCTTTTCTAATTGTCGTGATCAGTATATAAGCATTAGTTTTTTTTCCCTCTGGATATATAAGCATTGGTTGACAATATAAAAAGATATAAACCTTGTCCTTAAATTACAAAAAACAATTTCGACGCCAACTATTATAAATTAAATTCCAATACGTCGGCAATAAGGTTTTACAACTTGGCTAGCTGCCCTTCTTCTTGTTATCAGTTTTTTCCTTGCTTTTTGTGCTATTTATTCTTTTACTAAAAAGGAAAAATGTTTTTACTTCACATGCATGGACAGGACTCTAGCAAGTTTTCCAAGACTCCAAAATATATATGACGCAACCTTGGTGTTTTGTTTCACTTGTAAAATTGGGTATATTCTCTGCCGGCGGCAAGATTTTTGAGCTAAGAATTGTGGAAAAAACTATAGGGGTTTGTTTTAAAAACGGAAAAGGTCTAAAAATGTCACCCAACTAACATAAATAGTCTATCTATGCCATCCGTTAAAAGGTCGCCCTATTCATGCTAACGTTATACTTTTGGCCTATTTATGCCATTGTCTACTAACAGTTCCATTTTCTTATTTTTAATAATAAGAATTAATTTTCGACCCCACCTTTGCCACATGCCTTTATATTACTGGTTCTTCTTTACTTGACCCTACATTTCTTTTAACCCTGATTATGTATAATTAACCATGCCCAACCCGATAAAATCCAACCATCTTTTAACCCAACCCCTAATTCCTTGTCACGGCCCAAAATCCAACTAGTCGTGATGGCACCTAACCCAACCCGCTAGGTAAGCCAATTAACAACTATCCAATTTAATGAGATTTTTTTAGACAAATAAATGATAAAATAACTGAACCTTAATACTTTTCCCAAGGGCCGGTAATACAAATCATGAGATTCTAAGATTTTTACAAACTAAATTGAAATAAACAAAATATCGGTTTCAAATAAATACAAATCACTGAACACTGATCTTATCGGGTCGTGACAAGGAATTAGAGGTTGGGTTAAAAGATGGTTGAATTTTATTGGGTTGGGCATGGTTAATTATACATAATCAGGGTTAAAAGAAATGTAGGGTCAAGTAAAGAAGAACCAGTAATATAAAGACACGTGGCAAAGGTGGTGTCGAAAATTAATTCTTATTATTTAAAAATTAGAAAATGGAACTGTTAGTCGACAATGGTATAAATAGGCCAAAAGTATAACGTTAGTGGCATAAATAGGCCAATAGTATAACGTTAGTGGCATGAATAGGGTGACCTTTTAACGAATGGCATAGATAGGACTTTTATGTTAGTTGAGTGGTATTTTTTGGCTTTTTCCGTTTTAAAAAAGAAACATGTAGAATGTTTTTTTTTTTCCTTTTTTTTTTTTTTGTACTTCCGATTGTTTTGAGTGGCTCAATTAATTCAGAGAGCACACTTAAAGCCCAGAGATCCTCTAAGCAAGATCAATGCCACTGCCTTAATTAGCTGCCAAATGACGAGTTAATTTCATTACCTGCCAAATGCCAAATAGGTTGGGTAAGCTAGTTTTAAGTTGGTTGTCAGGTATCGCAATCTTCCTCTTTTATCGTCATAAAAATTATTTTTTATAACATTAAAATAACTAAACTAGACGTATCATAACAATAAAGTCATTAAAAATTTTGCGGTCTAACAATAAAAGCTACTCAGTGAGGTGGTTAGATTGTTATAATGAAAAAGATTTTATTACTTTACTGTTATAGTGAGTAAAGTTCAATTACTTTAATATACAAAAACTAATTTTACGACGTTACTTCCTTCGGTCCAAAATAAGTGATTTTTTGGTTGTTTTCATACATATTAAGAAATTTACCTTTTAACATTAATTAGCAATGAAATTGACCATATTAACCTTTACTCTTCACATAAACACTCCTAACACACACTCCAACGTTATTTACTCCAAGGGCAATGTAGGAAAAAAATAATTAATTCATTCTAGAAATCTGAAAAAAATACTTATTTTGGACCATAAAAAAGAAAGCCAAAAAATTACTTATTGTAAACCGGAAGAAGTATTATTATAGCAAATAATTAATCAGTTCAATGATCATAAGTGAAATTAACACGCATGGTGGCTGCATAAATAGAGACCATCAAGCTTGTCACAAAAGGTAATGGAGCAGTGGTTAAGATACCATTTCTATTGACTAATGAAACATTGTCTCAATCAGTTTTCCAATTGTTATCTGACTGCAAAATTATAGGAGCATTAATGTAACACCAATAAGATGCAACCACTGATTTACTACGTATTAAAGAACAAGAAGCATAGTAGATATTAGTGGTGTAGTATTATATAAAAGGTCACGTGATATATAAAAGCGATGGCTGAGCATGGGCGGTGCCTTGTTAGGACATAAGTAAGCATTATGAATCTACGTAACGTGAAAATTATAGTTTTTTGTTTTGGTTTGATAGTACGACACAACAAACCG